GTCTCTCACTAACATAGGAGCAAGTGAACAATTAAGGGCTGAGAGAAGGGACACAGAATCCCATGCAAAGCCAAAAAGAACTGAGAGGTGAAGGCGATAGTAACCCCAACACATTTGATGCCATTGTTCCTACCCCCACAACCCCATTCCTGTTCAGTGAAATTATACATTTATACCTGCATAAGAAAGTTCCGAAAATAAAGGAAGGCAAGGAGAAAGCTACAGCCTTGTACAGGAGGAAATGTGTATTTCTTCATCAGCACCTCATCTCACCCTCTGGCATTCCCATGCTGTAGCTTTAAAAGTATAACCTCTCATCAAAAGGGACAACATAAAGCCTCTGGGGCCAATCAGTAATGAATGCCTGTGAATGTGACCTTATTTGGAAAAAGAGCCTTTGCAGATGTTCAAGTTAACATGAGGTCATTAAGGTGTACTCTAAGCTAACATAATTGTGTCCTTATTTATTTATTTTTGAGACGGAGTCTCTCTGTGTTGCCCAGGCTGGAGTGCAGTGGCTCTATCTCCACTCACTGCAACCTCCACCTCCCGGGTTCAACTGATTCTCCTGCCTCAGCCTCCCTAGTAGTTGGGATTACAGGTGTGCACCACCACACCTGACTAATTTTTTGTATTTTCAATACAGATGGGGTTTTGCTATGTTGGCCAGGCTGGTCTAGAACACTTGACCTCAGGTGATCCACCCACCTCAGCCTCCCAAAGTGCTAGGGTTATAGGCGTGAGCCACTGTGCCCGGCCATCCTTATTTTTTTTAATAAAGTGAAATCAGACAGTGAGACAGACACAGACACAGGAAGAATCCATGTAAAGATGAAGGCAGAGATTGTGGTGATGAATCTACAAGTGAAGGAATGCTGCAGATTGCCAGCAAACTGCCAGAAGCCAAGAGAGAGGCACAGAACAGATTCTTCCTCATAGCCCTGACAAGGAAGCAATCCTGCCAACACCTTAATCTTGGTTCTAGCCTCCCTGACTGTAAGACACTATAGTTGTGTTGTTTAAGCCACCCAGTTTGTGATACTTTGCTACAGCAGCCCTAGGAAACCAGAACAGTGACCAAGGGTAGGATAGCCTTGGACAGCCAGTAAGGTTGGCAGAGTGGGAGTTCAGGGTGAGGCTATCCATTATTGCTTCCCTTTATTGATCCTCTTTTGTTCCTCCTGAAGGTCCAATGTGTTTCAGAGTTGGCCCTTCTACTCCTATCACTGCCACCCTGCTCGCCATTTGCAAATCTGTTTGTAAATTCCTTTTGGCTATAACACTTCATTACAGGGTATAAGGAGCATGCAAAAGTGACGAACATAATGTCCTTACGCATTGAGTTGATTCATCAAGTCTATAACTAGTTTGGGGACATCTACTATGTAAAACCATTCTCTTTGGTGTTGGGCATACATTGAGCAGAACAGAAAAAGAAAAAAAAAACACCCTCCTGTCCTCACTATAAGTTTTTAGTCTGCTAGATTTATAACCTGGAATAAAATCCAATTCTCAAATCTTACTTTTGCACCAAATTACAAGAGTGTAATGTGTTTCTTTTCAAGAGGAATAAAGACTATTTGAGCCAATATTTCTCAAAGTACCTTCCAAGGATTACCTTCATCAGAATCTCTTACCCTACCATTCTTATCAAAAGGAGGACTAATGGGCTCCACAGCAGGCCCACTCAATTCAAGTCTATGAAGATAGGACTCAGGAACCTTAACGTTCTTAACATGAGTGCCCCTAAACTTTGAGAGGATCGGTTAAACTAAAGGGGCTTGAAGTAGAAATAGTAGAGATTCAGGTGATTGTTTTTGCATGCTAAACTTTGAGAACTTGCTGCTCAATGAAAGAGATAAGCTCAAATGGTAGAGTTGCAGGGAGTAGCTATGGCAGTGTTTCCTAAACATCCCCAAAAAATCACCAAAGTCACCTGTTAATAATGGAGCTTCCCCGATGCATTTCATACAGATTCTGATCCAGTGGGGCAGGGGTAGGCAAAAAGTGACTGTTAGGTTAGCAACAAAGTTTAGGAAACACCCACCTTTAGAATAGAAGTGGCAATCAAAAATCAGAACTGTTCCACACTCAGAGAAAATTATTCAAGATATTACATTAGTCACTCTTATTTCCCCCCCAATTTAGTGACTATTTTCCTAACACTGATTTGCCCTTTTTGGCTTCTCCATTTTCCTTCTTTGCTGGTATATCTGTAAAGCTCAACTGTGTGAGCCCTGGGCATGAAGAAAGAAGCTTTTTCATCACAAGACTCATCAGTGTCTATACCTATTATTCTGGCTACTCTTCTGCTAGATCATTAGATCTTTAAGGTTGGGGACTAATCTTGTCAATTCAGTAACCATTTAGGGCCCCTCCTCAGTAGGTGTTTAATAAATATTTACTCAATATTAGCCTGGTTAATAGTATTCTGAGGGCTAAGAAGTATTTGAATCTAATTTAAACCACATATTGCCATCCTCCTCTGGCCCTGCAGTCAATATTTCACTTTGCAGTAAATGAAGCACCAAGTGCTTTGTGGAACACCCTGTAACACCTATTGATTCTCCCTAATGTCTCCTCTGCTCCCTTGATTTGACAGACAGGCATAGAGTACAGCAAGGGGGGCTGATAAATGGAGATCAAAGTTGCACTTGAAAGAAATTGTAGCTTTCCATTTTTTTCTCTGCTGACATCAAGCTGCTTACTGCCCCTATGCAGTAGCATTTTAGTACACAGTTTTAAGCAAATGCATTTATTTTTACATTTTTAATATTTAAAAAAAGTCAATAAGTGTTTCATTTTTATCAGTTGAGTACATTGAGGTTTGAAACTATATATCCTAGATAAATATGAGAAAAAGATACACAGTAAAGAGCTGATTTAAATATGTCAAGTAATTAATAAAAAATGCTGCTATAGTTTGAATATGTCCCACAAAAAGTATATGTTGGAAATTTAACCCCTGATAGGCTTTGAATGTTTGTTTCCTCCAAATATCATGTTGAAATGTACTCCCTAATGTTGGAGTTTGGCCTGATGGGCGGTATTTGAGTCATGGGGGCAGATCTCTCATTAATATTTTGGTGCCTTCCTCATAGTAATAAGGTCTTGCTCTGTGTTCATATGAGATCTGTTTTTTTAAAAGAGTGTGGCACCACCTCTCTCTCTTGTTCTCTCACCATGTGACATCACTTGCTCTCCCTTCACCTTCCACAATGATTGTAAACTTCCTGACGACTCGCCAGTAGCAGATGCCAGTGCTATCCTTTTTTTTTTTTTTTTTTTTTTGAGACAGAGTTTTGCTCTTGTCACTGAGGCTGGTGTGCAATGGCGCAGTCTTGGCTCACTGCAACCTCTGCCTCCCAGCTCCCAGTTTCAAGTGATTCTCCTGCCTCACCTTCCTGTAGCTGGGATTACAGGCACCCACCACCACATCCGGCTAATTTTTGTATTTTTAGTAGAGAGGGGGTTTCGCCGTGTTGGCCAAGCTGGCCTTGAACTCCTGACATCAGGTGATCCGCCTACCTCAGCCTCCCAAAATGCTGGGATTACAGGCATGAGCCACTGTTCCCAGCCAAGTGCTATCCTTTTTATACAGCCTGTATAACTCTTAGCCAGATAAACCTCTTTTATTAATTAAATAAATTACTCTCAGCTTTGGGTACGGCTTTATATTAGGTTGGTGCAAAAGTCATTGCGGTTTTTGCCGTTGCTTTTAATGGGAAACCCCGCAATGACTTTTGCACCAAACTAATAGCAATGCAAACACACTAATACAATCCTCAAAACAAGGGTGTTAGGTAATGTATTCTAATGGGAAGCATTTATATCATGAGGGCTCCACCCTTATAAATAAATTAATGCAGATTATAAAAAAGGCTGCAGGCTGTGAGTTTAAACCCTCTCTCTTTTCTCACCCTCTCGTCTTTCCACCTTCCGCCTTCTGCCATGAGATGATTCAGCAAAAAGACCCTCACCACGTGACAATAACTTCATGTTGTACTCCCCAGACTCCAAAACCATAAGCCTCAAATAAATTTTTGTTCATGATAAATTATCTACTCTCACTCAAGTACTTTGGTATAGCCGCACAAAATGGCCTAAGACAAACACAAAAGCAGTGTGTCTTAAAGATATTATTTATAAAAAGCCACAGCTGAACATAATAAAGGAAGAGACAGTTTATGTAATAAGATAGAAAAGTTTGGCATATGAGGACAGAAGAAAGAGAACAGAATTTGGAGACAGCTTTACCTATGAGAAGATCCAGATTCTTCAATCATGATACCTTAGGCAAGTCATCAACTCATCAGACAATAACAAAATGCCTCAGAAAGTTTTTTAAGCAAGCATTTGTGTGGATAAATGGCACTTCTTGTTTTCTCCCTTTTAATTGAGGTCATAACAAAGGAATATTCAGAAAAAGTAATAAATGATAGATATTACGAGTTGTAAACTTGTCTATTGGCATAGAAAATACAGCTAATATCAGTCATTTGCATTGCATTGATTAAGGTGAGTAAACAAATCTCTATCCCAGTTTAAACTGGTTCAGCTATTAAAGTTATACATTCAAACAAAAGATAGAAGAAAATAAAACAAAAGAAAACAAAACACCTGTTTATTACACAAGAATTTTCCAAATACATTGTCATTGAATTTTGAATTTGAGTTTAATTTGCATTTATCTTATGATTATCTTTTGGAAAGTAGGTTGACATTTCCATAAATTATGAGTAATCGCAAATCAGGATTTCTAACACAGACTTTGAGGAGTCCATTAATCGCTACCCTAAAGGACTTTGTACCCTTTTGTAGAGATTTATTTTTTTCACACAGAAAAAATCATCAATGTGTTTAGCTGCAAGATGTATTTGAAACTCTTCCCGCAGGGTTGACAAGAATTGCATGCTGGATTCTGGACAGAAATATAGTTATAATTAAACATTAATCAGGCTGCAGTTTGGTCCACTTCCTTCTTGCTAAAAGTCTTGCAGCACTAGTTGGTGACCATTTGCATATCTATTATTCCTACAGATAGGATTTCTGACATTGGGGTCATAAGACTTGAATAATTGACTTGCATCTCCATTGTTCCTATAGGCAGAGTCTCTGACATTAGAATCATAAGGATTTTGTTTAAAAATTGCTTAAGATGTTTGTTAGGCCTAGAATTCTAGCAACCAGTTTGAAGACCCCCAACAGAGAAACTGGATCAGCATGAGAATACAGCTTCTTCATCTCCCTGACCCATGNAAAATTGCTTAAGATGTTTGTTAGGCCTAGAATTCTAGCAACCAGTTTGAAGACCCCCAACAGAGAAACTGGATCAGCATGAGAATACAGCTTCTTCATCTCCCTGACCCATGACTTTGCCCTGTACTCTTCTACAAATCAATGACCACACTTTAACCCATTCTAAAACCCTTAAAATCTCTAGCTCCAAACTCCTCAGGGAGATGGATTTGAGGCTTACTCCCATTTTCTCATTCAGTGATCCTGTGATTAAACCTCTTTCTCTGCTTCAGCCAGTGTCTTGGTGTATTGACTTGCTGTGTGCATGCAGCAAAGAGTCTATTACAGTTACATATTTAGATCTAGGGTTGGCAACAAAACATTGGCAAATCCAAGCCACATGCCCAAATCCAACTTGGCAGCTTGGATTATCCCGGTAGGTAGGAGCAATAAACAGAAAAAGAAGTTACTCAGAATCAAGCAGAAAATATGCTTCAGCCCAATAATCTATTCCTGAATATGTTATGATTTGACAAAAGACTTATAACATAGTTCCCAACTTTCTCCATTTCTGTCTTACACAACACATTGGTAATACAAAGCATGGGAAAAAGTGACTACTTATTTGCGAAGATGAATAATTTCAAATGAGTTAAGACACACATTTCAAAGAATTCACATAAATTCTGAATGTTCATAATGAAACTGAATGAATGTTTAGCTCTAGTGTTTCCTCAGCAACTGTGATATACACTCCACCTTCATGTGTGAAACAGATTATAAGCAAGATTATTTGACTTAGGAAGAACATTCATTTTTTGCAAATAGGCCACTATGATTCTGAAGACTACATATACAATATGAAGTCAAAGCATGTACCTGTAAAAGAAAAAAACTTCAAAAGTCCTGCTTGCCATTTATAATTTCTTGTTTGTTAATATAATAATAAGAACAGAGTTTTTAAGAGTTAAAAATACCATCAAAGATTAAACAGCCTTTTCTGTGTATGGATTCTCATAAGTAGGAAAGTGACAGAGTCAAATACTATAGTTGCACCTTAGGTAGAGGGCAAATAGTTAAGAATTCTAACCCTTGAACCAGACATCAGAAAACAGGTTGTATATTCCTTTATAAACTACTATCATGAGGATATTTAGACTTATTTCCAACTCTGAATTTCCTTCCAACTGTGGATTTGTTGAATGTATTACTGAGGCAGACATGGCTGTTGTTGATGAGGTGAGGTCTGATTTCTTTGCAATTTGAAGAAGGCTTTGTGCCCATCAGGTTGCTGCCTGTATCACCTTCTTCAAATGAACCTGGAAAAACTCTAACTAGGTAAACCCAAGGTGCAATCCAGTAAAAAATAACAGTGGTTGATAAGATCGTTATTTGGTATAGTGGTTTCAGACCATGTGACCCCGGACCTCTCATGCAGAGAACTGGGTTAACATATCTCCCTCCTCCAGAAAGTTGCCCAATGTGTGAGCTCGTGTGGCACACCTCAGCTTCATTACTGAAGCCAGAAAAAGTTCTGGAAGGAAGTTCATAAAAGCAAACAGAAGTTCATAAAATGACCACATCACAATTTTTTTTCATTTTTTCCCTTTCTTTTTCTTACCAGTGCAGAATGAGAAATGTGTAGATATAAGGCACATAGGCTTTTTATGGTTTGTGAGGAAATTTGTGAGCAGTTTTGAGATAACAGGTAGAATTGAACTTTTCTGGGTATTTAGATGCCTGCCCTTGAAAGCAAGTGCAAGCTGTCACATTCTATTTGCTGTCCTCATAAAATTTATTAGGTGTTCAATTAAGGGAAATTGCTTTTGAAGCAATTTGTGCAAGTTCATGAATGACTGATGATACAGCCACCTGTTGAGAAATAATTTCCCATTGATCTCTCACATTTCTGCATGGCTTTTGAGTAGAAGCACTGGGAACTTTAGTTCTGGACTATCTTTTCAAGGATGTCTGTGTGAAGGAACAGACTTGGATATTAAAGATAGTTTCTCAGTCCTTGATCAGAAGATAAATTTGCTAGCACTCCAGGATTATAAAGATAAGGTCTCCCTTGAGGCAAAAATTGGGCATGTTTATCAGCAGCAGTACCCTGTGAAAGATTCAGGTTTTTTAAGCTCAGGGCTCCTCAGCTGTGGCACAGGCCCACCGTAAGTGCAGCAGCATCCACTGGATTTCTCCATATCAACTCTATGGGACTTGAAGGACAAGAACAGATGTAAGTATGAAGCTCATGCTGCCTACTGTGCTGTGAATAATAAAGATATTATTCTCTGATCTAGGGATATTGTATCTCTGCCAGCATCCATGAAAATGTGGCTGGCCAATTTGTTAGCTTGCAAGTAGGGTAAAATCTCAGACCCTTGATACTTATTGACAAATATCTTTCTGTAATTTTTCTTGTAACTGAAATAAGCTGTCTTTTAAAAACTATTTTAAGGATATGCAAGATTGAGATGGAGCCAGTGATTTGGGGAATCTGGCTGCTTAGTCTATAGGTTAACTGGATGTTTTATTCTTCCTGTCAGTACCTGTTCCACATTATCCATGATGCAGCCATGAGATTTGATTATAATTTTTGATGAAAATAAGGTATTAAATGTCTATACTCCTCCTTGATTTGTCAATCCTTAGTACTAACAATAAGGATTTTAGAATAATTATATCTTATAAATCTAATGGCATCTCCTGTTAGCACTACCTGTTTTTATACCTATAACTCCACATCAACTTAATGTGCTCATGGTCATACACTCATACGCATAATTATAATTATATCATTTGAAGTAAGTGATTTTAATTATATAGACATGTCTTCATTTTGCTAGTTCCTTTGTTCCTGGTGTGTGTGTTGTAAGGAAACTTGAAACATATAGGTAGAAAACTTACACACCAGACACATTAACATGTGAGACAAGCGGTGGGTTATCCTTCTAACTCTGAGATAAGCTGTTTTTATGACCTTGGCCAAGTCATTTTATCTCTCAGGATCTCTAGCAACTCATTTGAATGGGTTGGATAAAATTATTTTGAGAACAACTCTGTAATCTTATAAAACTATATCCCTCTTTGTTGCTAAATACAATCGCTGATATATTGAGAATTCTTCAAAAATGCTACTCTAGATCAACTTCTGATATTTAAAATCTCCCTTTAGGCAATGCATATATAATGAAGATGATAACACAAAGCAAAAGATTTTGAAAAGTTGTCATAAACTCAAATATAATATAGGATTTTTCCCAGATTCTAATATTTAAGTATGTTCTTTTATTGCCACATTACCTCTAATGGGAGATACAAGGTATTATTTATTTGATGATGAGTAGAACACTATTATCTTCTCTAGCACTGATTAAAATAGATGATAACATAAAGGTTACATCAGAAGCTTAACAATTGTATAGATAGGTTTAATTTAGTTTTTTCCTTAATAAATGACAAACTTATTCCAGACTGAGGAAGTGAAGGCAGATCTGTACACTTTTTGCTTCAATGTTTTTCCCTGGCAACAAGATTTTGTGATGCTCCAAACTCTCCCCTCCCATTTGGTTTGTAATGTGACCCCAGCACTGTGTCTCTTAACAGGGCTTCTTATTTTGATGCAGTTGCCCCTTTCCTACAGCTGAAAATGTATTCTCTTTCCAAACAGTTCTTAATGTCCTGGTTTACTGATGACCAAAGTGATTGTGAAGCCATCCGTATAGCCCCAAGTCAATTTTTTTCTGTGTCATTCATGTGTAATAGTTGTAAGTAATATTTCCATATTCAGCATCCATTCCTACTTCTGGTTGGTGCTTTTCTATTTTCCTGTAAGGGACTATCCTGTTCCATGTAATCATGCTACTTTGCTTTTCTCTGAAATATCTGCTTGCCTGCCTGCCTTCTTTCCTTCCTTTCTTCTTTTCTTTCCTGCATTCCTTCCTTTTAATATTAAAATAAACTAAAAATCTAAAAATCATAGTCAAAAGTTATAAAATAATAAACAGTTATGTAAAAGGAGCATTAATATGTCAGCATAAGATTTAATAGACTCTAATATACTACTACTTAATTACAAAAATTTGAATTAATATATTTTGTTTCATTACCACTTTTACATATTTTAATATTGTGTTAAAATTTAAAATTTAATCAGACATTTATAGAATCTATAACACAAAATGTAAAATCTGGTTGGCAAGGGCTATTATGCCTTCCCTGCCTTTCTAATTTATCTCAGGATCACAATGATTCCTTGCTATAACAATGCCTAGCAATGAAGAGAGAAGTATACTGATAGGGAAAATTGAAATATTTCATTTTTCCAAATAAAACTGTAACTTGGTTTGGCTGACATTTATATATCAGAGACTATTATTTATTTTTATTTTTTGCAGGGTAGCTAAATTTTGCTTAAAGATATGGATATTCACAAATCATATTATAAATGAAATCAAGAAGTAAATATTAAAATGTCACTGCAATGTAAAATGGCAAGTCCATGGGAAAGATGATATGTAAATAGGATAAATGTATATATGATGTTTTAAAAGAAACACATAAAGGTGAAGACTAGCCTCTATGTGATAAATTCAGAGCAAAACCAGAAAATTACTAATTGCTTTTTTCTTCTTTCATAAATAACTGTGCAGTAAGAATATCTTAGCTCAAAATGAATTTTAAAATCTGAATTCTACTCTCATTTAATTAATGACTTAAATATTATCTTGTAGGAACTATTTACTTCACTTCAATTTTCATATCTACAAAAGACAACAAGAAATAATGGATTGATACCAATATTTGCCAAGAACCTAGAAAAATCTGAGTTGAGATGTATTCTCTCTTAATTCTCTCAAGAATCCTAATATGATTATATTGTATTACCATTTCACAGACAAGAAAACTAAGATTGAAATATGTTAATTTGTCCATATTAATATAGCTACTAAAAATTCAGCTAGAGCTCAAACCGAAGATTTTCTGAATATATGGTAGATGCTTACTATTCTACTATTGCTCACATGCATAGAGAGAGAATTAGAAAACTTGAAAGATGCCTGAACTATAGATTAAAACTTATATTGTCACAATTATTTAAATATATTTCAAACTAGGTAGGACTCTATCTCAAAGACTGTATTGTTTATAGACATTGGAACATAATGAAAAGTTGTTATTACAGAATTACTAAAGAGATAGAATCTAATTAAATAGAAAACAAGCATACAATACAAAACAAGTCAGTCTTTTGGAAAGTCTGATACAAATTAATAAACCCTAAGCATATTTAATAATGATAAAGAAAAGCAGGTAAAATTATCTGTGTCATAAATAAAAAAGGACATCACTATAAAGCTTGAAAACAGTTAAACATATAAAGAGACATTGTGAATAGCTTTTTAAAAATGCATTTGAAAATTTAGACTAAATTAAAAAAATCATAGAGAAAAACAAATTACCAAAACTTATACAAGAATAAATAGAAACTCCCCAAATCTATACCTTTTAAAAAACTGAATCCATGATTTAAAATCGCCTCACTCATGCCCAGCTACCACAATATTATCCAGCCTCAGATGGTTTTACCGATGAATTCTACCAAAGACTTAAGAAAAAAAATTAACAGTGATACTATACAAAAGAGGGGAAGATTTTCCAATCTTTTATTAGTACATTATAACCTTGGTGCCAAAAATGAAAAAGGCATTATAACAAGAAATAATATTTGTCAGTCTGTTATTACTAATACTATTAGCCTCTGTTATTACTGACTTAACCCATGTATGCCTGAGGTTGCAATTTTTTAATTTTTGCAATCAGACCTTGTCGATGACCTTCAGCAGTAGAATATAAATAACCTCCACATGTTTAGTGTTCCAATAATGGAACACTAGGCATAAATGGATTTAATATTATTAAGTAACCTTTATTTTACTTAGTAGTGGCTCCAACGTGAGTGGTGATGTAGGCAAAGATCCAACTTAAAACATTAAATATTATAAGTAAAAACTTTTAACCTAAAGACATCTGTGTTAATACATCTAAAAATTCTGTACCTCTAAATTTCCCTGAATTATCTGAGCCTAAGGAAGTGGCCCACTTTTAGCTGTTAATGGCTAGCACCACCCCTATTTGAATATGATGTGAAAGTTTCTCCTCCACAGCAACATGCACTCATATTGCACCCCAGGATCTGCTCTTCTCTTCTCTCTTGGATACTAAGACTTCTCTAGGTTTAATTTACAAAACAACCCATTCAAATATATGGAACATTTGATAAAGAAGAAAAGAGACCATATTATAAAAAATCTAAAGGACCTAGCTAAAATATACTATCAGAAACCTTAAAAGTCAATATAGGACTGTCTGGCGGGAACTCTCGGCCAGCAAGAGGATTCAAAACCTGAGTGGGGGGTACGCAGGAAAAATAGGAGACAGAAAAGCGGGGTCAGGAGGTCTGGGGAGTGAGTGCTCCACCAGCAACTTTATTTCTCAAAGGCTTCGATTATATACATTTTTCAGGCTCTGGTTTACGTCAGTGTAAGAGAAAAAACAGATCACTAATTCACATACTCTATACAATAAGGATGGCAGAGACACACAATCAGTGGTCGTAAAAGGTGATAGTCATTCCTGGTGCTCATAAAAAACATTTACATCGAGACATTGTTCCTTGTGACTGCAGGATTTTCTGGTTCTGATCATCTGGTTATCTTTTAACAGGATTCTCCTTTTTTGTGTTCCTGACTCAACTTTATCTCAACTTCCCTCTATCAGGCGTCCCCGTCCCCGTGTCTGGGCTTGACCACCCCTCTTGTGAAACTCGCTTTGCAAGTATTCACACGGTTGGGTTCCCAAAAGGACTGAAGATAAAGGATGCTAGATCAAGTTAGAAAAGAGAAAGCTTATTGATTTGTTAGTGCTCTTGTAGAATACAGACTTTATTACCTTGGTAAGAACATTATATCCTGCGAACGTACTGAAGTGTGGGAAAAGCAATCACTTTTATAATTGACATGGAAACCTCACACATCACACTGCACACTGTGGAGGAACTTATTAATATTTTCATAATAGTGAGCATGCTAGAGTGGATTTGCTGTATAACAATCCTCCATTTTCCATGGTTTTAGTAACCTGTGGTCAAGCCCAGTCCAAAATTATTAAATGGAAAATTTCAGAAATAAACAATTCATAAATATTAAGTTACGTGCTGTTCTGAGAAGCATGATGAAATCTCATATTATTCTGCTCCCACGTTGCCTTGGATATGAATCATCCCTTTGTTGAGCAGAATCAAGCTGTTTGTGGTACCTACCTGTTACTCACTTAGTAAAGGTCTCAGTTATCAGACTGACTGTCACAGTATCTCACTACTGTGGTAAAGTAACCTTTACTTAATAATGGCTCCAATGTGTAGGAGTAGTGATGCAGGCAATTCAGATATGCTAAAGGGAAGCCATAAATTACTCCATTAACTAAATAAGGTAAACATTTTAAATAAGGAAAGAAAAAAATATGTATGCAGAGGTTGCTAAGATCTATGGTAAAAATGAATCTCCTATCCATGAAATTGTGAAGAAGGAAAAATAAATTTGTACTAGTTATGCTGTATACCTCAAACTGCAAAAGTTGCAGCCACAGTACAATATAAGTGTTTATTTAAGACAGAAAAGGCATTAAAGTTGTAGGTGGAAGACAGACAGAAAAAGTGTTTTGATGGACATCAATGTGCTGTGCCAGATTAACTAAATTAAATTAAACTTTATCGTAGGTATGTATGAATAGGAAAAAAGCTTAGTATGCATAGGCTTTAGTGCAATTGACAATGTCAGGTACCCACTTAATGTTTCAGAGTGTATTTCTCACAGAAAAGGGAGGACTACTATACTACGTGGTGTTGGAAAACCTATCAGATATGCATGCTTCAAAGTAGGGCCCACAGGGTGTACCTTATGCAAAATGGTAAGAAATATGCTAGTGTTAGGGGCCACCAGATTACTAAATATTTCAGTGGTTGCTCTCATCTGTAGGTCAGGGATGATGGGAAGAGATACTATTACAGAATTGGGTTCATGATAGCAATGGAGATGGCAGAAACTTAAAACAATGGACAGGTGGCAGTATGTAACTATAAGTCAGATGGCTGTAATTATTGTATTGAGTGGAAAAGACAAAGTGTCAGCCAGGGAAGTCTGACATGGAGAAGGTTATAGAGATGGTTATTGGAACACGACATCTCTAGGAGTCAAATAGATGGAGCTGAGGAGTGCTCTGTTCAATTGATACAATCGAAAGAAATCAAACATGATTATTAGGATACTGAAATAAGTGACCCAATATAAGACACCATACTTATTCAGTTTCCAGAACTGAGTCAGTTTTTAGACACTTAACTCTTGGAGTGAAACAGATCTGGTCTCCAAGAAAAGCCCTTCAAATCAATGAGTATACACAATAATGATTCTCCCAGTGCTCTCCCAATTAGACTTTCCAGCAACTCAAAGCATCAACATGAACACCTGGTAGATTTAGAACATGTAACGACTGCAGGACAATTTCCCTAGCAGCCTTGGCCTGACTCAGTTTTTCCCCTTTTCTTGTTTGTAGTTCTCAAAAATAACTGGAGAAGGTGCTCAAAATGCAGCATCCTGAGAGAAGAAGGAATTGGCCAGAACAGCACAGGCCCTGTTCCTGTCCCTCCTAGAGCAGGATCTTCTACAATACTTTAGTCCAGCTATTTATGTTTCTCCCAAGGAATAAAATCCAGAGTGCACTGCTTTCCAGGATCCCTCAGCTGTGGTGCAAATAGGGCACGTAGAGATGAGACTCCCTCCACCCTGTGCATCTTTCTTGAGCCTTAGGATACCAGCTCACCATGAATCCTAGGCTTTTGTTTTTTCTTGTTGCCCTCTCTAAGTAATAAGCCTGCTCCATATAACCTGTACTGTGCTAGTGTTCTGTCTCACAGGACTCATGCAAGTGATAGAAATTGGCACATCCTAAGGTGCGGTGGGTAAGGCGTTTGAGTCCTCCCCTAGGATTGATGCTGGTGCACAGTGAACCTGCTTTGTAATGACCAGCTAATTAATAGAATCCTGGCTCAGGTCTGTCTAGCAGTTAATCCATTGGGTATATAGCATGAAATATACAATTAAAATAGATAACATTGGTAGTTGACAGAATCCCATGCTGGTGCCTTGGCCAGTAGGGCTAAGAGTTATCATAGTGGAAAAGACAAAGTGGAAACTTTTGAAACTGCCCCAGCACTCAACCAAGATAGTAAATAAAAATAATCTTACCTTCTAAGAGAAGCAGTAGCCAAAGAATAACAGATGGTTTATCTCTATCATATCTTCATTTAATTCATCAGTATAGTTCTTGCAGAATCCAAACACATTCAGGATTGGTAGACTACTACACACTCAGACATTTAAAAGCCCTAATTGCAGCTACTGTACCATAAATGGTGTTTCTGCTAGAATAGATAAACACAGCCACAACTACATTCTAAGCCATCATTGGTCTGCCCAATGCATTTCTTTGTTTCTATTAGAAGAGAGGACCATGAACAGTTTGCATTTACTAAGGGAAGATAACAATATATGTTTACAGTCTTGTCCCAGGTTTATGTTAGCTCTTTTGCCCTCTGACGTAATATATTCTGAATACCCCTGAACTGTCTGGACATTTTGAAAAATGTCAGAATTTCCCAACATGTTGACTATATCTCTCTAACACTATCAGTGAAAAGTAGCAAGTATGTTGAGAGTCCTAGTAAGAAGCTTGCATTCTGAAGAATGGGATCCAGGACATTGGTAAACATAGAAGTAGAAATACCATTTGAACCAGCAATCCCATTCTTGGGTATATACCCAAATGATTATAAATCATTCTTTTATAAAGACACATGCACACGTATATTTGTTGCAGCACTGTTCACAATAGCAAAGACTTGGAACCAACACAAATGCCCAGAAATGATAGACTGGAGAAAGAAAATGTGGCACATATATGCCATGAAATACTATGCAGCCATAAAAAAGGATGAGTTTATGTCCTTTGCAGGAACATGAATGAAGGTAGGAGCCATCATTCTCAGCAAACTGACACAAGAACAGAAAACCAAACACTGCATGTTCTCATTCATAAGTGAGCATTCAACAATGAGAACACATGGACACAGGATGTTCTCAACAATGAGAACATCATACACTGGGGCCTGTCAGGGGATGGGGATAGGGGAGGGATAGCAGGGGATGGGGAGACAGGGGAGGGATAGCATTAGGAGAAATACCTAATGTAGATGACGGGGCGATGGATGCAGCAAACCACCATGGCACATGTATACCTGTGTAACAAACCTGCATGTTCTGCACATGTACTCCAGAACTTAAAGTATCATCAAAAAAAAAAAAAAATTAAGGGTCTAATGGTCTGGGATGTGGCACCCTATCTCCTCCAAAGTAAAGAGCATATTATTATATCTCACATATTCATCCACAAACAAAAATGCCTAATTACAAAGAAGACCTTTTAGGTCTTGCACAAAGTATAATCCTTGGCAATACTGTTCCAGCTGCCATATTGAGTGACATGAAATGGTCTCACTTTGAGTGGAGCCCAGAGCAGAAAGGAACAGGCTGCAACACAAGTGGCTCTGCTTGGTCCATATGATCTAGCAGATCTTAAGTTATTTACTACAAATGCCAGAGCTGACAAAAGACACCATGTGGAATTTGTGGCAAGACCCAAGGGAAGACTCACAATACAAATTCATTGAGTTCTGATCTAAGACTATACCCTATGCAGTAAACTGGGGACATTTCAAAAAAGAATTTATGACTTGCTTTGTGACATTGACATTTTTGGAAAATATGGCACAATTATTTTGTAGAATATCTCTCACTCTAGGATTTTTGTTTTGTTTCCTCATCATTAGATCATGATAGCCTTTTTCCCACCAGGCAGATTACAAAAGGGATGTGTACTCTCTTCGGTGCATTCACATCTGGAAGCACAAAATGTCTATTGGTCTCATTTCTAGTGATGTTATGTTTGACTTCTTGGGTAAGTTGATATTTATCAAGATTCTCCATTATAAAGTTAATGCTTTTATTTTTCTTTTCGGGAAAATTCTTTGAAACTTTGTAAAAATCTTACTGCTCTGTGGACTTTCAACCCACTAGTTTTAGCATTCATTAATTATTGTTTACCTGAATTAATTTTTATCATGATTACCAAATAATATTTTTTTCTTTCTACATTAAATAATTTGTTTTCCACTATAAAATATAACTTTCCATTGTCTCAGATTTCTTCAACATATCTTTACCTGTTTCTAGATTTATCTATTTATCTAAATATCTTTCTATTTGTACCTATATGTACCCTCTTGGTTTCTTGTCCTCTCATGTTCTTAGAAATATTCCCTTGCTGTTGCCAAATCAGATATTTTTTTCTCCCATAATTCCAAATTAATGTTTCTACTATCTAAAACAAATATATATGTATCCTCTTCTTTCCTAATTAGGTAGAAAATGAAGTTTTCATGGTCTTATTTACTTGATAAACTTACAGTTGAGAATCTTTTGCTAGATGGTATTTCATTTCTTTCTAAAATTTCAATTCTTCTCCACCCTCCTTTTATCCACTGAATATTGTTAGTTGTAGAATTAAAATAGATGAAATAGTGATGTAAAATCTGGTTCTGTGCTTGTGC